CCCCGCAGCCTCCTCGCTCCTCCAAATGTATGTGGCCTAACCAACGACAAAGCACCTACGCCACGCACCCACTCAACCCCCACCCTGCCTCAAACCCCCACGCACGAAACTTTCCTACACGCTCCACCTTCACCTGCGGCATCGGATGCTCTTCGCATCACAGTGGGGTAAGGCCACTTACTACCGGTTGAAAAAATTTTTACCGATTCGCGTCTGCAAAAAACGCATAGACAGATGCCGAGTGAAAACAGTAAGCTGATTCTTCCAACCTAATGAAACAAAAAATTCGCCACTTGTGTGCGGCTATGGTTCTCACAACTTTCACTCAAACCCAAAAACGAGTGCATTTGGTGCGGCCAAGCCCAATTTTACTGATGCACCTCCACAATAGGAGGTGCACTGTGCTGTCAGGTCAGCACAGGGAAACGAATGGAAAGTCCAAGAAAGCAAACGAGAGGTCAAACAGGATGAAAGTCTAAAAAAAAAAGTAGACACTAGGTCATACAGCTTCAAACGAAGATTGGAAGAGGAGAGAGGAAGGCAGAGTAAGATGAAGAAAGATTCTAGGCCCTGATACCGTAATTTCTAGAATAACAAGTATTAGCACAAGGGCAACGTTATCCCGTGTCGCGCAGAACAAAACGTTGAAACAAGTATCGTATGAACGAACGTACAATAAGTCAAAACACTAACAAAGCCGATGTGGCTGGTGCAACAGCTGATCTTTGCATAACAAGGCGAGATCCTTTTCACGTGACAACAACTGTAAATTACGTTTAAGTGCTGCTTATTTCATTCTGGGCATATGTGCCGAAAAGTGGCAAAATTCCCCAAAGCGCCGCCAAAGTTCGGCAGTGAAACAGAGAAGGTCAAATCAGTGCTGTAAAACATCCCCATTAATCAGATAAACAGCCCTATGAACAGGTATATTGCGTGATCAGTGATATGGGACAAGAGCACCCCGAATTCGCTAAATAGCCAGAACTGAAAGCCAGCACAGACAGAAAGCCTCAGTAACGAAAACACTTTCGCAATCCTTCAAAAGATCAAGAAGAATTCCTCCGACGGCGCTTTCCGGCCCAAACTCGTCCTGCCAATTAGCGCAGCGCTCAGCCACAGCAGCTGTATGAGAAACGAGCAGATTTGCAACCAGTTATCAGGCTCTTTTTAGAGGCAGCTGACGTAATTCCCAAGTTTCAAACTTATCATACGCATAAAAAGCAGGAAATCATTAACGCTGGCACGTAAAATTCAGGGTGGAATCCTGAGAGCACCGTCAAGCCGAATGATTTCACCATTAAGATAACGATTCTCGATGATATGTAGCACAAGCGCTGCAAATTCTTCCGGGGAGCCCAATCGAGTTGGAAGCTGAACCAATTTTTCATAAACTTCCAAATTCTGCAACAACAAATATTTTTAGAGTTTTTAGGCCTTTAATACCTCTGAAAAACGCTTCATGCATGAACAACTTCTATATTTTTAAACTCGAAATGCTGATTGCCCAGCGAATCAAAGAAGATACATTATCTCTACCAGCATATTCATAAAACCAGTACCAATGATTAACCCAAACTCCAAAAGTTACATCCCGCTAAAAAATGTACACATTTTATAAGCAGTTTTTTTCTTTTGTTGTTCCCGTTTTTAAAAATGGTGATTTTAGAGCAATACTAATTGAAGCTTCTCACTAGCTTCCTATAAACGATTTGTAGTATAAAATTTTGTGGCATTAATCACAGCCTCATATTCAATGATCTGGATCACAGGGAGTTGTATGTTTAGAAACTTCTAGTACAAACTCAAAATCAGTGATGGAAAAAAGAGATGCTGCATCGATACTGAAAACCATCCTAATGCATTTTCTCGTCAAAAATCGCAGATTTCCTTCGAACATGTCGATCTTTCCTTTTTCTGCTTTAAATTTTTCAAAAGTTTTTGTCGTACAGCGCTAGAGCATCGCAACAGGCAGCAAACAAGCATATTGCGACGGCCCTGTCTGTATATGCATGTTTGTGTGTGTATGTATGTGTGTACAGATGTATCGTCTGTTTGAGTATTTCTACTCACCAACCACGCAAGCTTTGATGCAGAAATTTTACTAATGTGTTTCCCAGCCAAGTGCGATCCCACATAATACTAACTATCACGCACGCCCGCTTCTCATGTGCGGGCACGATGTATATTTTTGCGGGAAAACCGCTAAGTCGGGAGCGAGAAAAGCTAAAGAGTTGGAATTTTGAAGGAATGTCTCTTCCTAACTTACGACCAAAAGATTTCAAACTCAGTTCCCTGGAACTGCCAAGGTCCCTCGTACGTGAAAGTTTTGGCGGGAAAACTTCCAACTCAACGACGAAAGAAGCTGGAGCTCTAGAGGGATGCTCCCTACTCATGTAGGACTGAAGGATTCCAAATTCGGCTCCTTAAAACCGTCCAAGTCTCGTACGGGCATGTAAAAGTCTTGGCGAGGAAAATTACTAACTCGGGGGAGGGAGACGTTGGAAAGCTAGAATTTCAAAGGGATGTTTCCTACCCGTGTACGACTGAAGGATTTCAAATTCAGTTCATCAGAATCAGCTCGGTCTCACCTACTAGCACGTGAAAGTTTTGACGGGGAAATTGCTAATTCGAGAACGAGAAAAGCAAAAAAATCGGAACTTTAGGGGGATGTTTCCCATTCACGTATGACCAAAAGTTTTCAAATTCAGTTCTTCAGTCACACCCGAGTAGCGCGTAAAGACATGTGAAAATTGCTAAATCAGGGGCCAGAAAAGCTAGAAAGCTTGAATTTTAAGATGTTCTCTGCCTCTGTACACTTTAAAGATTCTTTCAAATTAAGCCCCCAGGTATGCATGGTTCTCGGCACACAAGCGCGTGAAAGTTTTGGCGAGAAAGCTGCTGACTCGGAAACCAGAAAGGGTTAAGGGGTTGAAATTTTAAGGGATGTTCCCCATCCACTTACAACTTAAACATTTCAAATTCGGCTCCCAGATACGAATAGCATTCACGTATGGACATGTGAAAGTTTTGACGGAAAAATTACTAACTCAAACTAGAAAAGCTGGAAAGTTGCAATTGGTTCCCTGCTCAATTACAACTTAAAGATTTCAAGTTCAATCGCCAGGTATGAGTGGCTCTTACAAACGGGCACTTAAACGTTTTGGCAGTGTATTTTTGCGTTTCATGCACAGCTTTATGACCTCCATTGCACTGGTACCTGCTAGACAAATTGAGTTGGTCTGTTGCACCTAAGCTTCGCCGAACAAAAGCGGTACAGCGTTATTTGGACATGCTTAGAACTGCCAGAACTTGCAGTTCACTGTGTCTTGGCACTGCTTAGTCTGTCGTTAGCACAACGCACCGATGAGGTGCCTGAATGAGAATTTTGAAGGACCGACCTTCCTGCTTGGGCGGAATCCCAGAACTTTCACAGCTTTGACGTGATAAAGAATTGCAATTCACTAATTTCGATGTGTGTACGATTGCTGCCTCTTATTAAAAAAGATTAAAAATAATATCAGAATGAAAAATGTACTAGTACCAGAAAAATCAGGTTCGAAATCACGCATGCAAGTTGACAAGTGTTGTCTTTTTTAACTTACTGTAGTGATATTTGCTGATTTTAACGCGGTAAAATTATCGTCGGGGAATTGTTAAAAAATGTAATAATATGTCCGAAAAGACGATAAGCAGTGATTACCAGTTCAGTCATATTCGAAGTAATAACACGAGTACGAAAAATGCCTGGCGCAACTGTGACGAATCGGACACCGTCCAGAGAATGATCTCTCGCCAAAGCTAGCGTTGCACTGTTGATAGCGCCAGAGGACATCGCATCGAAAACCTGAATGTCACTTTTTTTACAAACCCAGCAAATTTCGCTTCAAAGCTAGTCTCCTGCTCAAAAATATTTCACAAAGAGACGCTCGAAAATGAACTCCGACAAGTCAGCAGTAGCACTTGGCAACGCAGCTTCAGTCACAGCAGTCATAATAAACAGTGGCTTAATGGACACAAAACATACTTCTAAAATTCCAGCCTTTCATCTTTTTAAACGTTTTGTGCCGCGTAACAGCAGCACAAAACGCATATTGTCACGGGTTTGTCTGCATGTATGTGTGTGTGTGTCACCAGCAACTTGTCCGCAACTTTCAATTCGGGAACCACAAAAGCCAGGAAGCTGAAATTTTAGGGGAACGTTCTCCACCTATGCACGACCCCGCAAATTTTAGTTCTGCCTCCCCGTACCCGCACGTAAAAGTATGGACGGGTAAAATTATCACGGGAATCACGGAAGCTAGAAGGCTGAAATTTTGTGGGCATGTCCCCCACCCATGTCCTACCCAGAAAATTTAAATTCAGCTTCCCTTGCCTGCGGGTAACATGTATGGCCCCGCGGAAATTTTTGACGAGTAAATTATCTCGGAAACCACTGAATATACAAAGCTGAAATTTTAGGGTAATAACCTCCCGCCCACGCTTGACCATGCCTATTCAAATCCAACGTTTCCGCGCCTTCGGGTATCACCTACAGCCCAGTGAAAGTTTTGGCGACAAATTATTATCTCGAGAACCACGGAATCCAGGAAGTTAAAATTTCGGAATAATGGCCCCCTACCGACGTACGACATTGCAAATTCAAATTCAGCGTTCTTACGCTCTCGGATATCACCTACGGCCCCATGAAAATTTTGGTGGGGAAATTATTATCTCGGGAACTATAAAAGCCAGGAAGCTTAATTTTATGGTAATGTCTTTTATTCACAAACAATCCTGCAATTTTAAATTCAGCCTCCCCCGCGCCCGGGTATCACTTATGGCCCTATGAAAGTTTCGGCGAGACAGTGAAAATCATTAGTGGGCAATCTTTCGGTGGACGGAATTGCACAAAATGCATGATCGCACCGACTGCCCAGGTGCGCGCAGCTATTTATTATGCGTTTTGTGCTGTGTAACAGCAGTACAAAACGCATATTGTCACGGAGTTGTCTCTGTGTGTGTGTGTCCGCAGCAACTTGTCCGCAACTTTCAACTCGGGAAACACAAAAGCTAGGAAGC